TTTATTCTGAAAATTCCGAAACAAAGATTGCTTTCGAGACTAAATTTATCACAATCCTGACGATTGAAATTTTCTTTCTACGACGCATCCCTCAAAAACTTATTCTGCGATTTTCTTTTCTCCGCCTGTTTGGTTGAAATCTGAACATTGGAGTTAGATGACGAAATATTAGAATTTCTCGAGTTTTTGTCATTCAAGCATAATATTCAAAGTCGAAATAGCGATAAAAAAAGATCGTTTACAGCAAGTTGTAAGAACAGGCTCTTAATTTTTGAGATCATGACTCTTTTAGAAGTCAGAATATATATTCGAATTTTAAAAAAAAAAGTGAAAGGTGTACTTTATTTATAAATCTCGTGAATGTCTTTGATAAACAAAGTAACGTACAATTCTATTCAGAAACTGTTTTTCGTATCTTCTGGAAAACTTTTTCGAAACTTAGGATAAGTATCTTTCAAACTGGAATAAATAAATGGTATTTCATACAACGAAGAATATCGTAAAACACAATACAACGAAGTACTGGATATTGGATATTAAAAAATATTAATGATACTGAATATTAAGAACGAAAATTAGTGCTTTCGTGGTGATGAAGTTGATGATGAAAATGTGTTGCATATTTCGGGAAAAATAAAAATATCGGCTCCTTCGTCGCGAGTTTCTCTGGCGATGGCCATTATGATCGCATTATTCTTTCAGAATGATTTTTGCACTCGGCACAAGACGTATCAGAGGCAATGCATGTACGTACGTAGAAAAGAGGTCATATATATCGGAATGCCCGAGTGTATTTACACTTATCGATATGCCAACCAGACGATACGTCTCAACAGCGGCGAGATAATCTGCTTTTACGATGAAAATGCGAACTAGTTATCTATCATTAAGTTATCAAACACAATGCCACCAAATACGGGCAAAGTATACAACACAGGACTAATACTAATATTAGTCGCGAAAATTCGTGTTTCATCGATTCAGTGCGACGATTTCGAGAATTGATTATGTTTGTGGCAATTACTAGCATGCAGATGTTTATGTGAAACAATGAGAAATTGAAAGAATATATGTTTATGGCGAATAAAAGAGTATAAGACAGAATTGTTGGTTTTGGTTTTTCAGGATGCAATGTAAAATCACGAGTTAAATTTTGAACGTGAAAGTTGATAACATCCACCCAATTCGTTCTTCGTTTTGGATTTTCTCTGCACTGCGTTTGGCCGCGAGCCGGT